CAGTTGGTTTCACCTGTTAACTTCTAAGATGAACTTTATATGCTTTTCATGGTAACACGCTGGCTGATTTATTCCTGAGACAGATCAATGGAACATCAGTCTTCGTATATTCAAATCAGCCCCTGCTTTCTTTTCTTCAAGCCAAAAAATAATTTCAAGTCTCCTGATGTTCTGGGTTATCTGGAGAAGTTCTAAAACTTTCTTTCAATCTTCAATCATTTTCATTACTTCCACCAACTTCCTTTGAAGGTTTCAATCCTCAGGTAGAGGAGCTAGAACTGGCCTTGAGAAGCACTTCTAACTAACATAATGCCACAGTCTGAATAACTTGTAACCGTTCAAAATGGAGGAATGACATAAAGCTTCATCAAGATACTATTGACAAACACATGTACCTCATACCTGAGAACTCCCGGCATCACCACCTTTTTGCCGAGGAGGCTGGGTGTTTACATGGCTGTTACACTGGGCCTTTCCTGTGCTGTTCAACAGTCAGCTTTGGATGGAAGGGGTGAAATTTTGATGCACACTTTCTGAAGCTGGAAAAAACACCTCACACATTACCTATAAAATTGCCAAGAAGAAAAAACTATTTAAAACTCTTATGAAAAATATATACTATGCCTTAAAGATTCAGAAGAATCTACGAGGCCAAATAGGCCTAACGTATTGAAAAGAGTAATTACCACATTCCAACTGCCAATATTTTAAAATGCAAATGTTTCAAAACCACAGTCAATGTTTTAAGCATTTCACCTCCCTGTCCCTTTCCATCTTGGTCTTACAAAATATGAGCATTACAGTTCCTTTCTGTCAAGTCCTTACACACCTGCTTCAGAAAATCTCCCCCAAAGTCTAAATGGACAAGAGAGAAAAGTGGGGTGTAGAGGTTGCAGGGGATCCCAGATTGAGTCTAAGCTGTGATCACCAGGACTGAGATATTTCTAGAGGACTGATCAATTTATAAGAAATCAGACGAGCCACCTAAAGTGAAAAACTTTAGAAGAGAAGGTGATGGGCCCTAATTCTGGTTCAAAAACCACGGACCACTTTTTGGTGGTTGTGGGAAGTGACTGCCAATCACTCAGTGGTGCTGCCAAACCTCATGGACTCAGCTGAATCCATGGGCTTAAGAGAGGCACAGAGGAGTGACTGAACCCTAACAAAGAATCTCCACTGCTGTTCATGTGACAGATGAGTACACCACAACCCGTGACCTCTGCAGATGTGAGGGACAGCAGCTCAGCAGGGACTGGTGTCCTCAGCACTGGCTCTGAGGAGCTTCAGCAGGGCTGTGGNCAACTGTTTATAATTAACACACAATAAGAGCTCCAATAATGTCAGCTATTTTTAATATATCTCAACTAAAAGTCATGTCTGAAATTTTCCTTGAAATTTAGTTGTTTCTGTGTCTAACTTGCCCTGTGCATTTTTGAGAACTCAGAGAGATGGGAAAAAGACCTATCTTTGAGTGGAGAAATCCAACTTTCTTTAACAAACGGGTACTAGAAGCTAAGCCACCCTGGAAATGAGCATCTATAGAGGGATGAGAAGAGGAGCTGAACTGTCTGTTGTTTCACAAGAAATACTTACTTCCGAAAGTTTTTCTTTGCACAGTGGACAATGTGGGGCATGGTCGAGGCAGCGTTCAAGGCATTTTAGGCAAAATGTATGTCCACATGGTGTAGTGACAGGCTCAAAAAGCAACCTAGAAACAAAAAATCTGAGTTTTCAGCAAAAAGTGTCCAGAATAGACTTTCAAGTAACCTATTTGTTTTACAAAAAAAATTCCTAGGCAAATAACCTAAGGGTTCCAAAATCACTATCTCCACTTCTACTTATATATTCCTTATCAAATTTTTAGAAAACAAATCAATTATTACTGATATATATGTAATTTCTCTGGTAATAAAATGCCTATTATGGTTACGATATAAAATTCAGGAAGGCTCAGTGTTTCAGAGTTGCATAGATCCTATGTCATCCTACCCCATACAAAGGGCACACTCAAAGTCAGTTACATCTATCAAGAGCTCTGGACTTCCTATGTCAGAGTACATGTTCCTTTGAGGTGAGGAATCTGCCTCTGAAAAAAATTGAAAATGCTATCATTAACATCTGCATATCTGGGTGAGAGCATGCATTAACTATTTCCTCTGTTTACTGTGTTACACCAATGTAACAAGTCATGCTGGGCAGGAATAGTTCTGGGCCAATTAACAGTATGTAGCAATAATTATCCAGACAGTAAGCATGAATAAAAGTTAAAGTTGCCCCAAAATACTCTACGCTATGTTTGACCATGAAGTCCTTGTAGGATTGACCAAACCGTTCTATAATCTTCAGGCTGATATATTCATTTCACTATTAATTTTAAGCTGTGTATCATTTTTAAAAATAGACTGAACATTAGTTAACATCCTATCATTCGGGAGTCACACCTTCCATGACAAAACAGTTTCCTGACCTTTCTTGGGAATTTTTCCAGGGGCGTCATTCAGGTCCTGTGCATCCTCCAAGTCATTTGGAAACTGTCTCTTTAGACCAGTGCTGGGTGCTACTGGAAGGATGCTTTCTAACATTGCTTTATCCTCTTCTTGGTGTAGACCCAATATAAAATATAAAACTGAAGAATTGGTATTTCTAAACACATCAGATTTCTCTGATGGATTCTGTTAAGTAGGAAAAAAGAATCCTAAATATTAAAGAATATTATCTCTCTCCCAGCATGAGAGAAAAAATTCATGCAATCACCCTTCTTAGAAAGCTTAAAAAAGAGAGCTTATACTCTTCCTTCACAGTTGGTTTCACCTGTTAACTTCTAAGATGAACTTTATATGCTTTTCATGGTAACACGCTGGCTGATTTATTCCTGAGACAGATCAATGGAACATCCGTCTTCGTATATTCAAATCAGCCCCTGCTTTCTTTTCTTCAAGCCAAAAAATAATTTCAAGTCTCCTGATGTTCTGGGTTATCTGGAGAAGTTCTAAAACTTTCTTTCAATCT